TGTTATATTGGTGAACAGGAAATGAAGTTGATAGTGAAGTTAGATAATGGTCTTTGCTGAATAGCAAAGCACACCACTGTTGGATTTAAGCAGGACATAACCATGTTAAATTTACAATTCTGACACCAAATCTGCCTGATGTATTAAAACAGATGTTTAAATATAGAAAATGCAGGCCAGAAATAATTTAAAAAGGTACAAGCAACTGACATTGAATTTTTCAATTTTCCTGAATGGGTTAAGATGCGGCTTCAAACCTTTAAAAGAAACTTACACTGTATTCCTTAATAAGGTCTTCTGGATCCTCTCCAAGAAAGGTGATGAGCCCTTTCAGAACACATTCCCTTCGAATCCAATGTCCTCCACCTGGAGAAAATGTATTGTTATCAATATTCCATATCTCTGACAAGATTTCTGATGTAACAGTAATATATTCAAATACCATAATGTGCAGCCCACATGTCCACCGGGTTAATAATGCTCTTCAAAATTATGCAAATTCTATGCTTCTCTCAATCAAACTAGACTTAGTTATTGTTAGGCTTTTTCTTAGCAATCTACTAGGACTAATGAATATCATTTGTTGTTTGTATTTTATCTTGCAGCATAAAATTGATATAAGTCTACCATTTAAAAAATTAAAATTTTAAATAAGCTCAAAAAAATGTACTAAATAGCACTAATTTCTGGCAAGTTGGACAGAAAGGTGTATTTTATGAAATTCATGAATGAACCACAATACAGACTAACTAAATCCACTAAAAATACATAAGACAGTTAAACTTGCTTTTCTTTGAGTGATATCACCTTTGCACAAAGTGTATCAAGTATTAATAATTAAAACAAAAAGTCTGAAAGTAATTAGAGACTTTAACTTCTTTGTTTTAAATTAAAAATGGTAAATGCCCCCCAGTGTTCCTATCGATGATATCCATACCTCATCATAGATTCTCATGATTCCAGCTATTTTTGCACGTGTTGCTCCTCCCTTGGCTTTGATGACTTTAATCAGCTGACTTGAGAGCCTGTCCAACTGGGCAAAGAAAGTCTGCTCAAGGGGAAGAGCCATGAGTCTCAGGAACTCCGCATTAATCTGAGAAACAAAATAAAACTTATTTTGTATCTTACAAAATGACTTAAAGTAAATACTGACCAATCATTCCAAAATCTAAGTAAAAATCCTCAATCTGCATTACTACCTCTTTCTGTTGGAACAGGGCAGGCCATCTGTCCTTGAAATCCTCTATGCCAGGTTCTTCATTCACCACCTCCTGACGCCTGTAGGCAAAGGTATGAGCCATTTTCTCCGCAATGACCTTGTCATTGTTCCTCCTTTGATTGCTGTCAAGAGTTCAATTCTCTCTTTTTCCATACTTTCTTGTGTTTCTCCCACTGGAAAGGAAGGATAGAAGTTGGCTTCAGCTCGTCTTGGCTTCTTTATTTTTGCAGCGGGAAACACTGAAGTACTGGCTTTGGATTTAAGTGCGTTAACAGACAATTCTGGACATCCCTGAAACTTGAGTAGAGTCCTGTAGTTTCCCATTTTGTACTTCAGCCTTTGTTTCCAACCGTAGCAACCATTGAATGAACCAGGCTCTTTTAAACATGGATGTTTTTTAATCAAGGCCTCTGCAACTACACAGAACTGTGCGTCCTCTGGATAGGCTCTGTATCTGTAGATCTCTTCTACTAATCTATTTAGGATGTCAGTCTTCATTCGTGGGGTGACTGTCAATATTTTGTTTTTTGCCTGATACTCAGAATTCCCCTTCTGTAGCTGACGTTCAGTATCATACGAAAACATGGGAATGGGAAAGTTGGCTGGCCATTGTTTTGTTCGCGATGAGAAGGATTCAGGGGAGGAGAGGAGTATAGTGTCATTTGAAGCTAAAGAACTGCTGTCATCTGAGTGAACTGCAGAAGAAGATGGAGCTGTTTCAATGACATCAACAAAAGGTTGAACTGCTTCTTCTTGAATCACCTTGACTGTTCCCAAGTCCTCAAGGTCAGAAGTTGAGCTGAGGTTGAAGAAGTCATTACCAAAGTCTTTGTCCATATATTGCAGTCTGATGTTGGTCTTTAAACCAAAGGTATCCTTCACCTTGCTGAGAAGATCATCCAGAGAATCTGGTATGCCATTTGGAAGAGTCAGTTTTTCAGTGTTGCTCTCTCCTAGAATCACCTTCAGTCTTGCAGGTTTTGAACTTGCCATGGCAATCTGAAAAAAGGGCATAAAGACAGTTAAGTAATGAAGGCCGCTATTCAAATTCTTCACAATATATGACATATATTAGTTGAATGTTAGGACATTTGCTTATAGAGGGGAAGACAAAATAAAAGGTAGTTTCAGCCATAAAGGAAAAATAAAATCTAACATGCATTACATTTTTTGTACAATCTTATATTACCATAAAACGTGGACATATCTTTTCACTGTCACAAGACGCATTCCTCGAATTTTGTAGTCTACCAGCGGGTACACATCCGTTAGGTCTTGTAGCTCAACAAGTTTCAGTTCTTTGTCTGACGATGTTTTGAGATTGTAAGATCTGTAATGCTCAAGATACCACCCCTCAAGTTTTCTGACCAGAAAGAATAGCTGGTTTGCCAGGATCACCATTTGGATGATTTCAATGAACTCTGGTAATCCTCCCAATGAGCCATGGATCAAGATCATCCCGCATCTATACTTCAGTCCATTAAATGTTGCACTTTTAGTCATGCATACTGTGGCCAGATTTGAAAACATCTGTTTGAGAGCATTTACGATTCCCTTATCAAGAACATCAGTTGTTACTGTGAAAACATTTGTAACTTCCAAATGAGGTTTTGTAAAACCACATAAATGCAAATGATGTGCCATCTGATACTGGTGTCTGTCTGCAAGAGTACAGAGGACATTTTTAAAGCACTTGATATTTCTTGCAACTCTTTTAAAAAAACTATGCTTAGCTTCAAAGCGCATGGACCATAAGGCTACTAAAGGACCAAACTGGCGAATCAACTGTGGGTAATGTTCCAAGAAATGGTGTTTTGGTTTAAGGTCCCAATTAGGAAAAACCTCCTGGAATTGTGCTCTGTGTTCTGAGATCTTAAAGTCAAGGTAGGCAATAGAGTCCTCTGTGTGCATGGGACAGACAACAAGATCAACAATGTCTCTTAAGTCTGTTAAGATATGCCAAGCTGGCTCCTCATATTGCACTCTGTGTCCAATCAACAAAGGTAAGAATCTGAGCAAACTCCAATTCTCATGTGCATTACCCCAACACTTTTTTTGGCTTCAAAATGGAGGGAAATTTGTTGAGGTCGATTAGTTCTATCAGTACCCTTAAAGTTGAAAGACGCTATTGCGTCATTCAGTGATGCCAAAGTGAAATACTTTTTCTTAATCAAACACCCAGACACAAAGCTAGTTCAAAAGGAACAACTCCTTCAAACAGGTCATGTACAATGTCTGGAGGAAGACCTGTGGTAATGTCAAAATACAACAAATGCGATAAAATGGAAGCTGATTTCACACCCCGATAACTTGGCAATTCATGTTCCTCGATACTTTTTAAGCAATCTGCATGAATGCTTTTGGTTCTCAAGGTAAATGCACCAGTTTTAACCTCTGTAGTTTGAATGTCTGTTTTAACTGCAAGACAAAACCTACATATGTATGACCCTGTGAAGTTTTCTACAAAGCCACCAATACTGTGGGCAGCAAGATTATCTGCAACCACGCACTGAACTGTGCCTTTTACAGCTCTCCCCAATTTTGAGACAAAGACCCCTTTTTGTTCCAAAATCACAAGCTCATTAAGTAAAGGTTCTAAAACTTTCTCGTAACCATAGCACTTCAAATCATTTGTTTTGATTAAAGCAGCCAGGTAAATGGAAGACAAGTTTGAATTACACCCCTGTGGTAAATTTCCAAGAATCCAGTATAAACCACAAATTTATGTTTTCGTTTAGATGTCCCGAGAGGGTTGCATATTTCGAAATCGTCTATATATAATACTAATGAAATGCTCTCCTCCTTACTCAAAAGCTCGTTTTCACTGAAAAATGACCCATCGTAGAAAGACCTATATGCATGAACACTCCTTTGTGGTACTTTATTAAGACTATAAGTTATCAGTCTGATCCAAGATAACCTCACAATCCAGAACTTGCTGCAAAGACTTTAGGATTGATACATATTGGAATGACTTTCTATTTTTTTTATCAAGAATATATTCTTCAGGTTCTACCACTTTAAAATGTCTTTTATAGAATTTTTTTCGTCTCCAAGCACTAGAAAGGGAGCCTTTCTCTCCTATTGCTTTTTTTACAGGGTTTGTTTCACAGAGGGCCTTGGCAAGGTTTTCAACAACTGATGGGTCAAACTGGCAAAGATGATTGTGTAGTATTTGGGTTATAGTTCTACATGTAACAGGCAGGGACAAAGAACCAATTAAATAGTTTAACTCCTGCAATAGATCATCAATAGCTGCATTTGAAACAAGATAAGTGCTTTCTAACTTTAGAAGAACTGATGCAAGTTTAAGTTCAATATCTCTCTCTAAGTTTTCAGAATCATTCCTGTTAAATGTGGGATTTGGATTAGCTTGTACAGTACTGTCCTGATCAAAAATGTCAGTGCCAAAAACTAGCACACAATTCTTCACCACAGTCTAATTGTTTTTTTTCAGTAATCCCAGTCTTCAATGTATTGTTAGCATCAGAATGTTTTCTGTATTTATGACTTTTGTAGTTCTCGTAATTATTTGTTTGATAAACACAGTCCTGAAACACACATGTGACTGTTTCCTTATTCTTGAGATGTTGAAATATATGCTGAAAAAAATCTCTCTCCGTGGAAAGTTGATTAGAATCACAAATGGGGCATTTGAATGTGGTTAAGTCATTGTTAACTGTTTGGTGGACTGGATGATGTCTTGATAAATGGTTCAGTAAAGCATTCCAGGTCTTGAATCTACATGCGCAACTTAAATATGTGCATGGATATGAATAGCCCCGTCCATAATGCCTGTGGTTTAGTTTGTAGTGCTTGAGCAATTCAGATCTTCTGGAAAACAAGCTCTCGCAGTCTTTGCATCTCCACATGAAGTGAAACACTAGAAGGATAAGAGAGGAACTGTGTTACATGTATGTTGCCAAATCTGAAGGCAAGGAAGATTAAAAAATATGGATGCAGAGTCAATTTTGAGTACTGTTACAATCTTACCCCCATGCAATACTTGAGATCTGTTTGGTAAAATATAGATTCTGAATGCATTTTTAACCATAATTATTACAGTATGTTTTTAATATCCTAGAAAAACATTCTCTATATTAATAAATGTCATATTGTTAGTATTGCAAATATTTTAGGCAAAATTGCACATCTCTTAAATTGTCCTTCTCAATTGCATATTTCTTAGGATGGGATTAAACTTTAAAGTCTACCAAAGTATTTTTAGGTTGTAATTTTGCCCTGGTTGTACAGTATGTTTCTCTTAATTCTCTGTGTGTGCATATTTAAAAAACACACATTGGTATATGTATGTTTGTGTAAACAAATTGCCTGTCACTTTCTGCTGTTGCAATGTAATTTTCCCTATGAGGGACAAAAAATGACATTGCCTTTCTATTTTTATGTCTGTCCACTGTTTAAGTGTTAGAAATTAAAATAATGTTAGATATTGGTGGGAAAACAAAAAGTTGTTTAACTATAATTAATTCTTAACAGCTTAATCAAAAGTGGGGTTGCAAGGGCAGCTTCCCTCTCCCCAGCCACCTCCCTACCTTTTGGAATCCTAAAGACTTTGCAGCCCAGCTGAGTGACATAGTCCCACTACAATGGCCTCCTCCTGGCAGGCCGTGCCCAGAAAACATCACCAGGGAGGCTTCCAGGAGGCATCTTAATCAGATGCGCGAGCCGCCTCAAATGGCTCCACTGGATGTAGAGGAGCAACAGCTCTAATCTCAGCCTCTCCGAGATGACTGAGCTTCTGACCCCATGTTGAGTGAGAGCTCATCAACCCTTTGGAGGAAATTAATTTCATCTCGTTCTTTGACCACCTATTATTCCTTTTACTTTAAAATGATGTTATTTATCGAAACTATTTTTGAATTAGTTTAGAGTATATGTTTTTCATATTATTGATACAATACAGCATATTAACTAATAACTTAACTTTTTTTTTCTAAATTAGAAGCTTAGTGAAGCAAATATGGCTTACCTTCTATGGTCTGATGATGCTTGGCTCCAGGCCTGGAGAGTGGGAAAGAGAAATTAACTCAAAGTTCCTACAAACATGAATTGCTTATTTTGTTTTTTGCTTTTTTAAGAAAAATGACATCTTATGGATTATTAGCGCAGTCAGGATATTATGCGTTTTATATCATGTCGTCAGTAAGCAGGCTGACAATTGGAACAAATGGCTTCCCTGACTGCAGCTCACGGTGACAAGTGACAAGCAGAGCGCAGTTGCGTCACATTAAATTAGTTTTGCGTATAACACTAACACCTCCGTAACTGTACGTTAAGATTACCCATAAAAAATCAACCTGTCCAGTAGTTCTTGTTATAAAATCTGGCCACCACTGCAGTGCATTAGCTGCTCCCACACTTTGACCCAGTCTAGCTTCCGACCGGAACACGCCAGCAGTTCTCGGTCCACCAGCACCAGCCCTGAACGTCTCCAGTCTAAATCACATTTCATGTTTTTCACTACATACCCGGCTTCCAGCTATTTAAGTTCTTTAGGGTCAAATAAAAATTACACACTCAAAATAAACGTTCACTAACTAACAGAGCAGTTAAGTTCAAACATGCCGAATAGCGCGGCAAATTACAACTAGCAAATGTGTTCAAAGCAAATAACTGATGATACTTCGACGTTAAAAACAGTTAACTGTTTCAAATTAAAGGTAGAAAAAGTCATTAATATTTTTACACCGTTTAAATAATATTTTGCCATGATGTGTAGAATACTTACTGTTTTACAATCCGGTGGACAGTCGATGGTCAGAAGAAATGGCGGCTGCACAAGCGGTCGGTACAAGAAGTGGATCTGTCTCGGGCAAAGCTTGCGTAATGACGTCAGACGTAAAACTGCATTCAACTTAATTGGTTCACGTCAACTCAAAGTTAACCGTTTGTTTTAGATGAAATGTGTGTCTTTTAAGTTAATTGAACTCATGAAAGTAAGTTGACATAACTAAAGCCAAACAATTAAGTCAGGTTAATGTAAAAAAGGCCATAACATTAACTACAGCCCAAATACACTTTTTAGAGTGAACGACTGCCAACCTCTGGCTCCATCTGGTGGGAAAGAAAAGGTTCCCCACCCAGCCTAACTCCAACACCCGACACAGTGCAGCAAAGACGTGCAGTCTAGAGTTACTGGTGTATTAAAAAACACTATTTTAAACAAAAAAAAAAGTACACTGCTCAAACAATAAAGGGAACACTCAAATACCACATCCTGGATCTGAATGAATGAAATAAATATGAAAATAATTTCCACCTGTTGTCTATTCCATTTGCACAACAGCAGGTGATACTGATTGTCAATCAGTGTTGCTTTCTAAGTGAAGAGTTTGATTTCACAGAAGTTTGATTTACTTGGAGTTATATTGTGTTGTTTGAGTGTTCCCTTTATTTTTTTGAGCAGTATTTATATTCTGTAATAACAAGCAGTCCTTAGCCTGGTGTGAGGGAGGAAAGTAAAGCCTGGTTGCCTGCCAGGCTTGTAATCCACTGACACTAGTAGTGAAACAGCAGTTGTAGGGCTGTCATGATAACTATTTGGCTGGACAATAAATTGTCCCAGAAGTTATTGCAATAATCACTAAGATCATTGTTTACTGCAATAACAATATAATAGTAATGGTATAATAATGCAAGACGACATTCTTTGATCTGTGAGTTGTGCCTCAATGTCCCCTCTTCCAGTTACTGTTCTGCTGCTACTTGCACACACAGCAGCAGAATCCTTCAAAACATGATTACTTCTGAGTAGAGCAGAAATGCTGAAGTAGAGACAGTGGAAAAGAGGTGTTAGTTATCAGGCTCCTCTCCTGTGGAACAAGCTCTAGGTTCAGTGCGTGAGGTAGACACTGTCTACTTTTACCACTAGTTTTAAAACTTTCCTTTTTGATGATGCTTATAGTTAAAACAGTGATATTTGTCCAGTTGAGTCTAAGGAGGTAGAAAGTACAGCCCAGTGCAGCGGTGCATGCAAAGACAGATTACCTCTGTAAATATCTTTCTGTGGGTGTGGAGATAGGCTGACCACTTTTCCTCACTTTCTTTTTTACTATTCTTCTGCGTCTGTAGTGGAGGGTTTGTTTGCATGAACAGCTTGTTTGTTACAGCCTGTTCATGTGGGGAATGCATGCAAGTCATTCATTCTCAATCTCAATGTGGACTCTGACTAGGGCACTTCAAAACCTTCAATTGTTTTGCTACATTAATCAAAAATAGAGTTCCTGCTTTGCTTTGGACCACTTTTATTGATGGACATTAACCATTGGGATTTTCTACTAGAAAGCAGAATTCATGGTTCAAGTATGGAAAGTTGTCCAGGTTCTGACAAAACAAAACAACTGTAGATTATCACATTATCACTACCACAATTACTCATAGTTTTACACCAGATGTTACAGCCATCCCGCCCAAGAATAGTTCCACTTTTGTCTTGTCAGAAAATTCTTTGCCAGAAGTCTTGGGGATCAACAAAATATTTTTTCCTAAATTTGAAATAAACCATTGTCCTTTTTAGCCAGCTTTGATTTTAGCCTTTCTTTCACATGGATGACATTTTTTAACCAGTCTCTCTTTCTTATTGGTGAATTCAAACTCCACCCTTAATTGAGACAGTGAGGTCTGCAGAGCTTTGGATGTTCTCTTGTGATAGCTTCTAGTTGGTTAGTTATTAGTTAGTTATCTTGTAGTAATTTTGGTTGGGCAACCCCTGATAGGTATTTTTTCTCCATATACAGCAAAGAAGTTCTCTGGATTATTGTTAAGTCTGGATTCACTGCCAATAATAATGCATGAGTCTGGCTTACAAAACTAAACTAGAGTTCAATAGTCAATCAGTTGACTGTTGATTGTGATGGTAGCAATTACTAATTGACTTACAACTAGTTAGTACAATTTATGAATGGAATGCACGTTAAAAAAAAACATTTTTTTAATATATTCACTGAAATAATCAATATTTTGTCCTAGTATTTTCTTAGAGAAATTGAAATATTTAAGTGGGAGGGAGAAAAGAAGCACAACAAAAAAAATGCATATGTAAGTGACAGAATATCCATGCAAAATTATTGGATAAAATATTGACATCTACAAAAAGGTATGCATGTTCATATTTGTGGATTGTTTATAATTTGCATAGATTAGAGAAAAGTGTCAAGTGTCCTTGGATATTTTGAAAGGCGCCGTCATAATAATGTTATTATTATTTTTATTACTATTAGTGAAAGTCAGCTGTAAATTTAGTCGTGTGTACTTGACTCTTACTTTTGAAGTCCTTTCAAGTTCTCTGCTTTGTACCACTTTAAAAAAAATAACTGTTCAATTTGATCATTGTAAAAATCAATGTGATATTGATGCCCATGATGAGTGTATGCAAACTTTTTGTTTGTACTGTAAATGTCCACCTATGCATGGATGTGTTCCAGAAAGTGACCAATTTGTGTCCCTGTATATTTGAAGTCTGTTAAACATATTACTACTTAATATAAACACTAATGTGTTGATTACGAACACATAAACCTATTGGTACTATTTTTATCCAACAAGCTGGTTTTTATTGATTGACTGTTTCATATCTGCTTCTCTTCTGATCAGGTTGAATATCCTACTGGGTGGCATGACGCCTCTGTATTTCCATATCATAAATGTGTGCTTGCACTGCACCGTTACCTGCCTGCTTATGTACACATGTGAACGTTGCGTGTTTGAGAACCCATGCCTGGCTTTCATCACGGCACTCCTCTTTGCTGTGCACCCTGTTCACACGGAGGCGGTGAGTACAGTCCAATATCTGTTCTCCATCTATCATGCTTTGTACAATTTGAATTAGTCATTTTGGCAAAAAATGGTTTTCTGATAAAGAGAATTTTACTTTTTTTAAAAATTAAAATAATTTACTTTCAGCAGATGCTTATTCATTCAACTCTATTGTAGTTTTTAAGATGAAACTCATTAGTAGGTATCTTGAAGGTCATGGGTTCAAGACCCGGCCTGAGGTCTTTCTGTATGGAGTTTGCATGTTCTCCCTTTGCCATGGCTTCCTCACAGTCCAAAGAACATGACTGTTAGATTAATTGGTCTCTGTAAATTCTGTTTAGGTGTGAATGTGTGTGTGTGTACCTGGGTATTGTCTTTGTGTTGCCTTGAGATGGACTGGCTACCTGTCTAGGGAAAACCCCGCTTCACAGCTCCCCTCGATCCCCTTCAAGTATAAACATATTAAACAATGGATGGAAGGATAAATCACTATATTTAAAAAAAGTTAAATCAGCTGTGTTAAAAGTCGACTAAACATGGTCTTCACACTTAAACTTTAAAGGGAACTTCTAATGTTGTTGAATAGAAAGATAAAAGATGAAAAGAATAATTTATGTGGAACACTTAATCCCCATGAGCACAAAGATGCTCAGGACTGCAGAATTTACTTTCTTCTCCTTGTCAACAAAGTGGAGACCATTTCTGCTGTCAAGATGGTCTACACTACGTGGTGAAATATTGCTGTTATGTGTGCTTCCAGTTCAGCTTTCTTCTTGTTGCAATTCTCTTCTTAGCAGGTGGTTATGGTGGCATTCAAAGGAATAATTCTGTAAAATCTGCCCAGAAGACCATCAGCTGCTCTCTGCCTTCTTTGAAGAACTCCACAGGGCCACCCCGGTGCCTCAGAAGAAACAAAGAACATTTTAGAAGACTCCTAATTTGTTCCAACTGCTGCCATCTAGCTGCAAATACAGGAGCATTAAAACATGGACAAACAGACTGAAGAACAGTTTATCACCCAATTTTGTTATAATCCATGTAACTTATTGCATAGTTTCTATCATGACATTAAAGACCATTATTATTAGTAGTAGTAAAACATGGCCCCATAAAGTGAAATAATTCAAGAATACCATCCAAATCAGCCTTGCAAATCTAAATCTAATCTTCAGTTGGCATTGTGTCTTTTTCCATCATAATGGCATCAGTCATTTTTGGCTTAAAACTTGATGGTGTTTTGAAACGTCAAGTCATTAATGGCTGAATGAGCACTATTAAGGTGAATGTTAAGGAGATTGGGTTAGGTTAAGTTGAGATTACTGTTTTTATTTCAGAGCTCAATTGCATGAAGAGCATTTTATATCCCTTTGGATTGTTTCATCTTCCTGTTCAAGGAAACTGTTTCATTTACCACTTTAGGTATTAAGATGCAGTTTGTCAGCATGGGGCGCAGCTCTGATCACCACCTGGTCACTGGCATATTGCACTCTGGATGGCCATAGGCGTAGATCGAAATGCTGTTGTATTTATATTTTTTATTTATATTTTATTCATATTCTTATTCCTTGCTTATTTGTGCTTAATTTAGGGTTTTGGCTACTCACATTTAGTGTGTACCTTTGTATTTAATTTGTATTTCTTGTATTCTTTTGTATTTTGCGCACTGTGTGCCACTTTTCTGCCTGTAAGCTGCTGGTAACTTTAATATCCTGAAGGAGTCTTCCCAAGGGATCAATAAAGTACGAGTCTAAGTCTAAGTCTAGAGTTCAAAATCAAACGTTCTGCAACCCTGAGAAACGTTCCACAGGTTTCCACAGGTTTCCACAGGTTTTTCTTATAGTGGCTCTGACTTAAGCCATTTATCCCTTAATTATTTAGATGGTCGATGGACGGAACACAGCAGCCTGCTGTATCTGACGTGTAGTGCAAGTGTAGCTTTACGGAGAAACTGTAAAATTAAATTTCTTATTGAAGATGACTACTTAAACTAAATGCTAGAGTATACATATTTGGTAAATGTGTTTGAGCCCTTGCTTTACTATTTTTATTACTGAATTGATTATAATTTCAGAATTTTGTTTACTTTCTTCCAGAAAACGTAAAAAGTCGTGTGCATAAATCAAAAATTAAATATGGAAGCCATATTTTAATTTAGACGATAACTAATTAAAACTTCTAACAATATCACAGCAAGAAGGTTAATGTAATAATTAATTAGGTCAAATTTTATTAATTTGAATTTTAATCTCTTTTTTGATTAAAATTGTAAATTGTGTATGATCAAATTAAGTTTTATTTGTATAGCATCTTTCAGCAACAAGGCATTTCAAAGTGTTTTACATCATAAAAACACAAAAATACAAAGTCATAGAACACACAGTCAACATTGCATTTTGCACATCAGATTATTGATTAATGTTTTCTTGACACTACCTAAATGTTCCATACAGAAGGTAGGACACCTTCCGATCTTTGGCCACCTTCAGTTTTGTGAATAAACCAAATGGCGGTGCACTGAACAGTTTTATTTGAAACTGTTTAGAGTTTCAAATAAAACTCTAATCAGGTGTGTTTTTAGTTGTGATTTAAAAGAAGTCAGGGTTTCAGCTGTTTTACAGTTTTCTGGAAGTTTGTTCCAGATTTTTGGTGCATAGATGCTGAAAGCTGCTTTTCCTCTCTTGGTTCTGGTTCTGGGGATGCAGAGCAGAACCAGAACCAGAACCTGAGAGTCTGGAAGGTTGACACAACAACAGCAGATCTTTGATGTATTGTGGTGCTAAACCGTTCAGTGATTTGTAAACTAACAACAGTATTTTAAAATCTATTCTTTGAGCTACAGGGAGCCAGTGGAGGGACTTTAAAACTGCTGTTATGTCTCTATCTTCCTGGTTCTAGTGAGAACGTAGAGAAACCAGCAGAGTTCTGGATCAGCTGATGTAAAGCTGTTTAATTTTTCTTCTTTTTAGGCAGACTCATGAAGACATTGTTGCAATAATCCAGTGGTTCCCAAAGTGATAATGCACCCACAGTTACTGGAAGGCCTTTTCTTTTCTAGTGCTAAGAATAATGCCAAAACTTGCATGTGAATGCCATACAGTCTTATTCAATCAGTCTATACATGTTGTTCAGGCTTGTCAGATTAATAGCACTTTTTGAAAATCTTTTAGCAGGTATTAAACATACTACGAAATGTAAACATATTAAAACATACATAATCTAATTAATCTGTATAATGTCTTTCACTTGGTGATGGAACTGTTGACAAAGGAACTTTTCAGTCATATTCTTGTTGATGGAATCAACCTGTATTTGCTGAATGCTTTCTGACAATTTTGTAATATTTTTTGTGAAGAATCACCTTATAGTTGCCTTTTATTGTCTGATTTTATATATGAATAAGTCATATATTTTGTGCTAAGTGCTAAAAACATCAACAACAGGAGATTCTGTAACAATAAAAATGTTATTAAACATTTAAAAAGCAGAATAAGTAACTTCTGTGTAATTGTCAGTCCAAACTTTGTACTTTTCAATTATATGATTCTGACTCCATAGTTGTCCCTCAGTTGGTTGGCAAAACTTTGTCCTGCTGATTTACACATAGCAGATGAGATATGATCTGTCTTCAATATAGCAAATAATAAAGATGCAAAAACGTTTTGGGCCTGGTTGGAGCAGATGGTGAGTAGAGTGACCATCGATATTACTGGATTCTATAAAATGTGGCTTAAAGCTGAGATGCTGATGTTTGGATATGTAAAATATATATTATGTCTGCTAATAAATCTATAGTTTGGTTTCTGTCAGTTCTACAAGCAAGAGGGAACAAAGCAAATTTCTCTTTATAATGGCCCATAATTTAATTTTACTTAATAGGAGCCATGATTTAAAATTTAACAAACTTTGGCTCTTTATGCTTTATGAAGTATTTCATCCTATTTGATGATTGATCTGATTATTGCTACGTTCTACGAACAAATGATACAGTTTGTCCTGGTTCAAAGTTTAATAAAATATTTTGAAATGATTGCACACAGCTACCCTAACCAAGACCTAACAGTGTATATTATTTAATAATTAAATTAATATAGCAATATTTTCTTATGGATCTAATTTCAAGTGCAACCATTTTTCAGACAAAAACAAACTTACTTCGAAGAGAAATCAAATGTTCTGTACTTTGACATATGTGCTTTAGGAGTATAACAAAAGAAAAAAAATGTTCTATGGATTTCTTTGATGTACAAAATAACTTTGAATTTAGCAGATCATTGAAATATTGTAAAAGTATCCCCATTAATGTATCAAAGGTAATACCACTTACTGTTTTTTAAGTCCAAGAAAATAATTTCTAAGTACATGCTGTTGGTTGATATGTTTATTAAACAAAGATTGTGAGATTGATTCAATGACTGAATGGAAGATAAAATAAAATGTTCAGTATTAGACTTGCAAAGGTCATTGATCATCAATTCCAATCCATGAATAATTGTTTTGTGAATGTTTAAATTTTATATAGTAATCTTATCATTGCAGTTTTTAGCTGAATTTGTAGCATAGAGGGTGTTCTTTGAAATCTAGTGATTTCTTCAGCAGTCTACTTTATGTCACCCTACTTCAGCAGATGAACTCTTGTGAAATCTCTGCATGTATATGTTGCAGGTGTCTGGCATTGTGGGCAGAGCTGATGTCTTGGCTTGTCTGCTGTTCCTGCTGACATTCCACCTCTATATTAGGTAAGGTAACTCAGCGTCACAGTGTCCCCATTCGCACAAGCTTATAAAGTTCACCTTATTGAAACTTTGGACTGACACCTCGCTACATTCACCAATGCAGTTATTGCATTTGTATTAGGGATGCAAGTTATTGAATGATTAATTAATCTAAGGTTGATGCATCAATTGACTAACATTCAATGAACAGCATTTTTGTTTTCCAAAACAAAAATGTTTTCTCTTGTTTCAAGAGAATAGACAGTCTTTCCATAACATGAACAGAAAATCTTTCATATGCTGAGTTCTAAAAAAAAAAATGCATGGAATTGTATTTAAAAGTGTTGTTAGCTGTATTAAAATCTGACTGAATAAACAGAGAATTTTGACCTCGGACATATGAAATGTAACAAAAGAGGAGCCTATTGTGATGCCTAATAGAAAAACAAAATATATTCTTTTCATCATGGGAGATTAATAACAGTTCAGCCCCAATGAACAGAAAAATATCAGGAATGTAGACTTGCCAAGCCGTGTCAACAAAATAGACGGAAACTGCTTGAGCTTATTGGGTTAGGGTAGAACTGCATAAAGTGCATTTTGCATTCCACAGACTATGTTTGGACTGTTTCACTTTTCTGTTTAGGGTTGTTCCCTCAGCCATTTTTGTTTCTCCACTTTAGGCTGACCATCAGCGCTTAGTTTAGTGGCCAAACTATAATACACAAAGAATATATAAACAAACGCTATTAGCTAATCAATTGGAACTCATTTGAATCTAATCCCATTTTTGACAGTTAATCCTAAATCGATTGTTTGCATCCCTAGCTGCAAATGATCCAATCAGTTACATACACTGACAATGCTGCATCACTGTGGTGCAAAAGAAACAGAGACCTCTTTGAAAAGCTTTATAAGTCTCCAGGAAGATGTTCAGGAAACACAAAGGTTCATACCTCACTGGAGTGGACATAATCTCCTGATCTCTCATGCCAGGCACTCCTCCCCAGTGCATTATCACATTCAAGCCAAATCCTGTGCTCCAAATGCACATTTGGAAGCTGAACATTTGGTCTGATTTATTGAGGACTCCAACGCCGAACCATGGATTCGTTCACGCTGAGCTTATGTGCTGCAGCTATTGATCTGTACTGCCAGATTGATGGCCTTCAACTTTTGAAGTTGAAGGTCTTGTTTCCATGATGAGGGGTATGAGTTGGAAAACATTTCTCTGACATGTCTAACATGTGCTTGTTCTAAATGAAAATCATCACTTTCTTTGATGGCCTTCAACTTTTGAAGTTGAAGGCCATCAACTTGTCCTTAACCCTAACACGTACCCACACAAAGAAGGTCTTGTTTCCATGATGAGGGGTATGAGTTGGAAAACATTTCTCTGACATGTCTAACATGTGCTTGTTCTAAATGAAAATCATCACTTTCTTTGATTTCCAATTTTAACTTCCAATGATTCACTTCCTGCTAAAGAACCCCAGTGCAGTTGGAGAAAAATCCACAGAAAAGCTGCACACCAGGCTACAAGCCGCCTGGTTCAAAGTGTAGAAAAAAAGTAGTGGCTTGTAGTCCGAAAAATATGCTAAGTTTAAGCAGAAATCATAAATGTTTTCATAAAATCAAAGGAATTAATTCTATGTTCACTGTTGAATTGGCAGTAAAACAACTAGAAAAACAATTTAAAAGATCTGAATAACGGTAATAGTAACTGGTGTGACATACAGTGCTGATTAAAAGTTATTGTCCTCATTTTATTATGAAACTCATTTTAATTTATTGTGTAATTAATTGATTTAATTCTTATTGTGATGGGCATAGCAGTGAGATCACTGTGGTCCAACAGTCTCCATGCTCGCCAGATCTCAGGTCAACAGAACACCTTTGTGATGTCGTGGATCAAGGTTGCATGACATGGCTGAACCTTATGGATGTTCAGCCAACAAATCCGCGTTGATGATCTGTCATCATAGTGATCCCGGAGCAGCTGCAACATTTCTGAGAAGTCATTGCGAGACCCACTTGAATCTAAATTCAACCAGAAATGAATTTAGATTCAGTGAGGCTGAAACGAGACAGTTGTGAATGCATCCTTGACTCGGTGTAAATGCTTTAAAAATTAGAGGTTGTATTAAAATGTGAATGCCATTGTATTCTCTGGTGTCACAGGAGTATAGATGAATGGGTCTCCGAAGACTCGTTCCCTTCCACTGTGTCTCCAGGGTCTCTGCTCATCAGCTTGTTTTTGGGTACCTGTGCAATGCTGGTCAAGGAAACAGGAATCACTGTGTTTGGAGTGTGTCTGCTCTATGATGCTCTGGTGCTGTGCCGCAAGCCTCTCACACAGTAAGCACAAAGTTTTTTTTTTGTTGTCAAGCCCAAGCAGCACAAGGGCTTCGAAGGCCTACTGCATCTGTACTATTATTCTTCTGTCAAATAAATTAACTATTTGGAGGCTTAAACATATACAAAAATGCTCCAAATTGGTTGGATGCATCCATCCTCTGTGAAAATTACTGATTTTAGGGAATTCGCAAAAATTGCAGCAGGAACAGCTTAACAGCTCTCCCAGGCAAATTGCGAAATACCTTCTGCCTTGGCTTAACTTTATCAAAGAAGCATGAAAAGGGACACATTTGTAAAACTCTTCAAAACCTTCAGAAAACTCTCTTGCGCCCATTTAGTCCAAACAGAAGTCAGCCATCTTAGATTGGCAGACTTTTGGCCTCAACATTTGACTGAACTTCTCCTAAAGATTTTAATAAATGGGCTTGGCATATGATCAGTTTGCTCATAAGATAATGGGGATCAAAATTGATCAAAATTAGTTTTAGAGCATGTTAAAGGGACGAGACCAGACCTCCAAATCTTTCCATAAAACATACAAGTTTTATCTACTACACCAAAACTCATTGAGATGCCAAACCTTCATTGATTAATCTGTCATTAGGGCTGGGCCATATCATTTATAATAATACTAGTAAAAAATATATATTGTTATATGCTAATTTCTTAGTGTAAATACATCATCCCGTTATCATACATCCAGAAATATTCAAGTTGTAAAGGTGAAGGCAAACATGGCTGAACCACCAGAAAAACAAAGAGAAGTTGGTCAGGTGGTTTACAGTCTGGACAGTACTGAATTTCACAGAGTTACCTGATATCTGCAGTAAGGTAAGGACATATGGTCATTTGAATAGTGTTTTGGACGTTGCAGCTCCCATATCGGTTACCTAGTTACATGGAGTTTGACTCTGTGTCAGCTTGCCTCTCCTCTCTGCTCCACACAGAAAGAATGACTGGATCAACCACCATAAAATATGTAAAACACCGATGTCCAGGTGACATCTGATTACCTCCTCTCCCCCATGACTGATATGTAATAACACCAAGTTTATTCCTATTGTTACGTCCAACAGGGCACAACATATTTAAGGACACATAGGCAAAGAGGATTCAAGAAAATTATTTTATTTTTAAACTCCCTAAATCTCTTTTTTTCTCTCCACTTCAATTTCCTGTGAAGGAAAAAAGGAAGAATTAAAGATTCTCATTTCCCATATCCCCAAAAATAAAATAAAAAAAACATTCCAAAAGTTTCAACAGAAAGGTGGACCTGGTGAGCCGGTCCAAAAGAACAAAACGGTACAGCAGGGGGCCAACCCTATACAGGGCCGTTGAAGCCCCTACTAGTACCGGGCTATAAAGGAAAATAACCTACTGAAACAAAAGAATCGAAAACAGGACAACCGGTCTCACCAGGTCAAAATAATTACAAAACAAACAAAGGCTAACAAAAATACCCCATAGCAGCCTGGAGACGTCAGCTGTGGCCTACAGCTGCTGAAAACGTGCGCGCCTGGTCAGGACGCATTCTTGGTGGCGGTGGTGGGCGAGTGGAAGACAGCAAGGCAGATTGGCATCTTCCAAACTGTGGCAACCCAGCCTATTTATAGGCGGTCCAAGCACGCCTCAAATGAACAAAACCAAATTAATTACAGAAAGGAATCATCAATACGCTAAAGTATATTAAACACAAAATCATTCAACTAAAGTCAATACAAAACTATAAGAAAAATACAAAATAATTATAATGTGCCCAAGGTACATAACACTACACAGTATTTGGAATCATTGTAAGCCACTCTAATATGCAAAGAAGAAAAACAATAATAAAAAGATGAAAAGAAAATGTAAATGGATTTATATCAGGCGTAAACTCAGCCTGCAGTATTCTCATACTCCTAAAAGCAAGCTGTATTGTTCTGCTGGATGTTCCTCTTGTGGTGCGGTGAGGTGTGGCACTGGAATTCACTTAGAAGAGCAGGCCCAAGTGGATGGAAGGTTTTGATTGCACATTTTTTACATCTACAAATTCACAGTAAACATCCACTTAAAGCAATAAGAAATGGAGTATTGGAACAAACTTATCGCCCACACCCGTCCTTACAGGCCAGTAATAACAGACAAAGAAACACATATATTGAATAAACATAATGATATGATAATAATTATTAGTGAGAGAAATAAATAAATTAAAAAAGGGCTGGAGTGTCTACTCGACTTCCACAGTCTGAGTATAGTCAAGAAACCTACTCTGCCTCAAAGGAATAATTTATCTTTGAGGAAAAATTTCAGCTTCTTAAGCTTTAAATTGTAAAGTAGTAAATGTGATGGAGTAGAAATAACTGATGGACCCTAAGATTCTGCTGTTTCAAATCCTTGGACAGACCTGAAACACCAAAAATGGCCGACTAAGGGTTAGGAACAACAAGCTAAGCTTTTTATGGCAAAAATATCAAACCAATAAGTCGTCAGCTTTGTACATGACCAAATCATATGCACATGTTTGGCCAGAGATATGCTGCATCTACCACAAGCGTCATTGACAGGGTGGGATATTCGGTCTAGTCTGGCATAGGTATAATGATAACCAATGCATATAACCTTGCATTTGATCTCACAGTTGAAGTTTGGATCTTTTTTGTGCCCACAAAAAAAGTCTATTTTGATTTGCCACATTAGAAAACAAAATTTCAAATACAGATCAGCCAATTGCCAAAAATGTCAAAGAAGAAAAACAATAATAAAGACTACTTTGGCTTTTAACAGGATGACCTGTTTTTGCTCCACAGTCACCTTTGGAATTCTAGACTCAAGGACTTCCCCCACTTCTGCACTCCCTTCATTAAACGGGCTTGTCTTATCTCTGGCTATGTAAGTATTATTTTATAGTGATATGTGGTTTACTGTTTTTTGCATGTCTTAATCACTTTATGAGAACTGTTTGAACACATGATCATCTTTTGGTGTTTTACTTCAATAAAAATCTGTTAATTTATATAGATCCAATTGTTAACTAATTTAATGTTCACATATTTTACATACAGATCCAGTAAAAATCCTGATATTGACCGACTTCAGTTCAAATCAGTCACATTCATTCCATCTCAGTTATTTTAGTCTTTCCTCCATTAAGACTCTGAAGACCATTGCTTTTTGTCCAGAAGTTTAATGATGTAGAAAATGTGGAACTGAAATAAAGTATAAGAAACAATACAATTACAATATGTACAATTGTAATCTTCCATTGTCTCTACAGTGTAACATAAACTACTTTACCTTTGATGCAAGAAAAACTGACTGTACTTTCACAGGTTGTTGCTTCAACAATCTGAAAGTTAGAGAATAAAGTTCTCTCATGTTGCAAAGAACTGGAAATAAGTGAAGAAGAAACAGTATACATAGAGATAACGCCAGAAAGGATGAAGGACGGAGGCAGATGACTGTGGATTACTGTCCATCATCAAGCAGGAAGTTTATGAATACATCCATAAACTTCCTGTGAAGTTTATGGATGTATAAACTTCCGTTTGACTATTCACAAAATCACTTTTAGGTGGTGCTAAAAAACACTTGCAACAACTCTAATGGCATAATCATATACCATTAGATTCAGTGCGTATAATCTAGTGACAAATAGTAAAACATTGCAAAGCAAATGTACATTTTCCCCAACAGGTGTAAAGTTTCTGTTTCTGCTGCTGACAGTCCTGGAGGGCTGAGTTGATCTGAGATCTGATTAAACAGACCAGAGGAGAGAAGGTCAAAGGTTATGAAGCAAGCAAAATTGCTGTCATTTTACTAATTAAGCCCTGATAATATCTATTTATCCTCTAGAACAATTTGACTGCAGAATGATTTATAGATCAAATAAAGCTCAAAGGGGTTAACTCTAGCATTTTTTGATGATGGAAGCTCTGAGATCTAGAATTGGAAAACTGGGATATCAAGGCAAAGAAAACTCAGTAGCTGCTGTTAGGGGCCTCCAACAATTCAGGGGCCTCCAGACATTCAGGAGGCCCTAGAAATGGTTTAATTGCAACACAGACCATATATGTAAACCTGTAGCATTCATTCATAGAGAATAACAATGTTATAAAATGTTATTTAATGCATTCAGCTGAGAGGAAAAAATTACATTTAGGATTTAATTAAAAAGTTTACTTTGTAAAAGTTTAAAGAATCATCTTGATAATTGGATTGTTGCGTTTCCATGGCTACAATATGGCGTAATCTCTATGTTTGAGTTGGGTTTGTTCACAAATACATCTCCGCAAATAACCAATAATCAGTGATTGATTTTAAACTCGGTCAATAAACCTGGTCTCCCTCTCACAGATTCACCTTATTGATATTTAAACATGTTAGTGATGCTGAGGTTCTTAGTGGGAAGGGTTTCTAAGGCCCCATAGTACCTTGGGCCGGCCCTGCATGAACAACCACTGTGATGCGCATCTCTGGAATCTACCTGGAATCTTCCAATGCCAGTCCACTGATGCTTGGCTTTTGATTTATTTAATTGTGGCATGTTTGGCTTTGTGGTTCTCATCATTGCTCCAGTATTTTCTCAGATGTTTATTGTGTGAACTCTAAATGCTTTGACCCGAATCTTCCTTTAACCTTGAGGTTCTGCAGTAACTTCTATTTACAGCCGTTCACCTCCAGCCCAGATCCCATCAGCAGCTTTAACCCGTCTGGTATGAACGTGTCAGAACAAGATGCAGGAAGAGAAACTGAGTGATTATTCGACTGAGGGCAGCCAGACTAGTTTATTTTGATAAATTATTATATTTAGCTAAATATTATTGCTGAGGGACATAAGCAGGCCTTCTGACATGCAGATAAAAAAAACTAACAAAAAAACAAGTCAAAAAGAGCACTAGGGGCATAAAGGATAAAAGGGGAAGGGAATCAAACCCCCTTTGTCCCCCTAGTCCCCTTGCACATGCCTGATCTACTTGGTTTAATTTATTCAATTACTTTACATATATATATTTTCCAAGATGGCGTCGCATGAACAACGTGTCTCTCCAGAACCTGCTATTTAGTAGTTTTTTATCTATTTCTCACCTGACTTTTTTTCAAGAACTGCACCGCGTTGCTGTGCTATAGCAGACAAGACCTTTTGGACCTTTGGAGTGACAATCCTGGCACTTTTATCGCTGATCTCCAGAACACCGGAGGTGGCCCACTTAACCAGACCGGGCGGAAGTGCAAGTAGGTGGAGACGAGAACGCAAACAAAGGCGGGGTAAGCTAACCCTAACACCACACCGGCTCCCTTTACCCAGCATTTTCCTCACCAATGTCCGTTCTCCGGCCAATAAAATGGACGAGTTACAACTATCACTAATGACGGACGGATTATGGACTCAAATGTCATGGTTTTCACCGAAACATGGCTAAACAACATGCTTTCCAGTTAACTGGATGCCATACACACCGAACTGACAGGATAGCAGATGGTATCCTGACAGGATACCAGAGGCGGAGGTTTGTGCATTGATATTAACAAAGCTTGGTGCACAGACTCTGCTATTACCAAGAGTCACTGCTCACAGAATGCTGAGTTTTTAAAATGATCAAATGCAGACCTTATTACCTCCTAAGGGAATTCACTTCGATTATCCTCACTGCAGTGTACACCCCCCCCCCGGATGCTAATGCCAAGCTAGCCATGAAAGAATTCTATGCGGTCATTAGCAAACACCAAACTAAATACCCCAAGGCTGCTTTTATTGTTGCGGGTGACTTCAACCACTCCAACTTGAAGACAGTCCTTCCCAGATTTCACCAACATGTCTCCTGCCACACCAGAGGAGACAAGACCATGGACCATGTCTACTCCAATCTGGCTGGAGCTTACAAGGCGACACCCCTCCCTCACATCGGACAATCAGACCATCTCTCCCTGTTCCTCACACCTTGGTACTCACCAATCATCCAACATGTGAAACCCACTGAGAGGACAGTGAAGGTGTGACCAGAGGGCTCAGATGCTGTGCTGCAGGACCAGTTCAGGAATACAGATTGGAATACTTTCCACCACACAGACTTGGATCAGTACGCCTCATCTGTACTGGATCACATCTCCACCACCATAGACTGTGTCACCATCCACAAAGGCATCCATTAACCCTAACCCTACCCCAACCAGAAACCCTGGATGAACCGAGATATTCATCTCCTGCTGAAGGCCCGTAACATCGTCTTCAGGTCAGGGGATGCACAGACCTACAGTGCAGCCTGGGCTGAGCTGAAGAGGGGAATCAAGAAGGCCAAACACCACTACAAAAGGAAGGTGGAGGATCACTTTTCCAACTTCAACCCCTGACGCATGTGGCAAGGCCTTCAGATTCTCACAGATTACAAGAACTCCAACACCTCCCCGCCTCCTCTGATGTCTCCTTCCTCAATGAAGGTGTACACCCCCCCGGATGCTAATGCCAAGCTAGCCATGAAAGAACTCTATGCGGTCATTAGCAAACACCAAACTAAATACCCAGAGGCTGCTTTTATTGTTGCGGGTGAGAGATGTGGAGCTAATGACCGCAACTTCTATGCTCGTTTTGAGAGAGGGAACACTACAACTGCAATTAAGACAGCCACCACCCCAGATCAACAGCCACTGACTCTCCTCTCCACTGATGTAGGAGCGGCTCTGAGCAGGATTAAATCCAACAAGGCTGCGGGTCCTGATGGCATACCTGGCCGTGTCCTCAGAGTGTGCTCTGGGGAGCTGGCAGGAGTGTTGACGGACATTTTCAACCTGTCCCTGGCCCGCGCCGTGGCACCGACCTGCTTCAAGTCTACCTCCATCGTCCCAATTCCCAAGAAATTCAACCCGACCAGACTCAATGACTATCGTCCGGTAGCCCTCACTCCCATCATCACCAAGTGCTTGGAGCGGCTGGTCCTAGCACACCTCAGATCCTGTCCCCCCCCACACTGGATCCCCACCAATTTGCATACAGGCAGAATAGGAGCACAGAGGATACAGTCTTCATAGCGCTGCACTCTGTCCTTTCTCAAGGGAATAGCGGTGGAGAGTGTGAACAGCTTTAAGTTCCTGGGAGTCCACATCTCCGAGGACCTGACCTGGACAACCAACTGCTCCAAACTCGTTAAGAAGGCGCACCATCGCCTCTTCTTCATGAGGACCTTGAGGAAGAACCACCTGTCCTCAGAGATCCTCACCAACTTTTACCACTGCACCATTGAGAGCATCCTCACCAACTGCATCACAGTTTGGTACGGGAACTGCTCTGTCTCTGACTGGAAGGCTCTGCAGAGGGTGGTGAAAACTGCCCAGCACATCGCCCGGGCACCACTCCCTGCCATCAATGACATCTACAGGAAGCAGTGTCTGAAAAAGGCCGGAAAAATCACCAAGGACTTGACTCACCCTGCACACACGCACTTCTCTCTCCTGCCCTCTGGGAGGCGTTACAGAAGCCCACGGACCAGAACCACCAGGCACTGGAACAGCTTCTTTCCCACAGCTGTCACGCTCCTGAACGCCTCCTGACACAAACTATAAGGACTCTACACCCCCATCCCCGGTCTGTTCCTCTCACACACATACAGTTAGGGCCAGAAATATTTGGACAGTGACACAGGTTTTGTTATTTTAGCTGTTGACAAAAATATGTTCAGAAATACAATTTATATATAATATGGGCTGAAAGTGCACACTGCCAGCTGCAATATGAGAGTTTCCACATCCAAATCGGAGAAAGGGTTTAGGAATCATAGCTCTGTAATGCAGAGCCTCCTCTTTTTCAAGGGACCAAAAGTAATTGGACAATGGACTCCAAAGGCTGCAAGTAACTCAAAAGGCCTTTCCCTCGTTCAAGTAAGTAGTTAAAAGGTCTG